GTATTTCACTGAGAAAATACAGTCAGGAAAACCCCCACAAGCTGGCACCTCCATACACCAGCATTATGCACCAGCCCGTCCCATCATTTCTCTGGTTTAACTTCCATGCTCCTATCCAAGGCCAACGCCTTTACTTGGGCACTAGATCCTACCACTGGAACCAACTCAAGACACTGCTCCAGCAATTTCTCCCTATTCCTCCTGCATCATCTGTTTTTCCCTATTTATTGAATCATTCCCATAAGCATATAACCATGCTATTATTGTTCCCATCATAAATGAAAATAAAACTCTCTGAATCCCACTTCCCCCTCCAGCTGACTTCTCATTCTCTGCTTCTCTTTATAGTAAAAACTCCTGGAGGGTGTTACTGTCTCCAATTCTCACATTCTCTCTTAACCACTCTAATTAGCCTTTGTCCCCACCACTCTATCAAAATCACCACCAATTTCCGGCATGGCAGATGCTACATCCAATGGTCAAACATCCTACTTATCAACTATCTCTGACACAGACGATCCGTCCTGTGAGTCCTCCCTTGAAATCCTCCCACTCTTGGCTTCCAGGACTTCACACTCTTCTAGTTTTCTTCTTGCTTCACTGATTCTTCTGTCTCAATCTCTTTTATGGGTCCCTCCTTATCTTCCTTACTTCCAACCCTGGAGCACCTACCTACCCCAGGGCTCAATGTTCCGACCTCCTTTCTGCTCTAGCTTCACCTTCTCCATTGGCTGCAGCATCCAAACCAAATTGGTATCTCCAGCGTCTCCCCTCGACTCCAGACTTGTCTATCCAAATCTCTGTTCAACATCTCAATTCAGATGTGTGTAAGGCATCTCAGATATAACAAGCCCCAAACCAAACACTTGACCTCCACGCCCCAAACTTGTTTCTCCCAAAGTTTCTCCATCCAAGTAAATGGCAACTTCATCCTTCCTGTTGCTCAGACCAAAAGCCATGGAGCTAGCCTTGTCTCCTCTGCTTTTCTCACACCTCACCTTCACTCGCCAGGCAAATCCTATCACCTCTACCTTCAAAATACGAGTACGTATATCCAGAATCGGACCACTTTTCATTCCTTGGCTAACATCACTCTTAAGAAGAAGGGAAGAAAGAATCAAATATTTCAGAGATTTAGAATATCTGTACAGAATACTTCCAGTAGAATATTCTGATGATAGCAAGCCTATGACACTATTGCTTCTAGAAGGACAAACGAGGGATTAGAGAAGTAGAAAGGGAGGGAGACGTACTTCTCACTCATACCCCTTGTACCTTTTTAAGTTTTGTGCCACGTGCATTTAATACCTTCTTAAAATTAGCAAAGTAATTTAAGAATGATGATAATGGCAGTGCGTCCTGTCTGGCTTCCCACTGAGAGGGCAGCAAAGATGAGGCACTGCAGTCAGAAGCACTCCAAGTCCCTGCTTGATCAAGGTGACAGTCATTCAAGCTCTCTCAGGGTCTCAGTTTCCCTGCCCGCAAAATGAAAATAATTAGAGCTTGTTTTATTTGATGAAGGGGGATCAGTTGTGAGATAGCACAGTCTACATGTAAAACATTATACATGTGTAAGTTTTCATTATCTTTAAGGAAAAGCCAAGTTTGGTGGATAAGAAAGAAAACCAGAACACTGAGCTATAGGACATGAAATGGGGCCAGAAAAGCAATAGTAACTGTCTCCAGATATCATAATAAGTTCTTGGAAGTAAGAAAATCAGTAGAAAATCTGTTGCTTGGTCTTAACTTTACTTTAAATTTAAAGAGTATAATCAAGATTATCATTCGCATTATTACAGCTCCTCTGTTCTCTGGTCTTGTGATGATTACGTGAATTTTAGTCATCCTTCCCTGGATTGTTCTTTTAGCCTCACAATATACAGACTAGCTGGAATCTAAAGAACTAGAAATGTTGTCGGAGAGTGGGCCCTTCTCGGCACAAAGTCCAGGTCCTTGACAACTTGAGCAAAGAATTGAACGAGACACCGGAGTGAAAAGTAGTTTATTAGAAGAGATAGTACATTTCAAAGAAGTAGAAGTGGGCCCGAGCAGTAGAAAATGGCTCAAGGGCCCATTATTAGAAGAGAAATTACATTCCAAAGAGTTTGGAGTGGGCCACGCGCACAGGCAAAGCTCAAACTGCTCAAAAAATGGAGGAAGGGGTTCAAAAAGGGAAGAAGCGGTCAAAAAGAGCAGGTCGGACTTCCCAGGACTTGGAGTTTTTATCCCCTTTCTCTAGAATGGGCTGTTCCCCTAAGGGCGTGGGACCACTTGATTGGCACCTGTAATTGACAAGAGGTACTGCGCAGGTGCGAATGACTAGTATGATCTAGTTGGGTATTTTGTGCCTATTTGTTTTCCCACAGAGGTAGGTAATTACAATACAAAGGAGAGTTTTGGGTGTAGAGGGGATGTCTCCTTGGTGGTCGCACTCTGTGGGACGTGCAGGAATGCAGAGACCCAATGCCTGACTAACTGCCTGCCTTGTTTTCCCCTTGAGAGACACGATCCCCATAAAATCTCTATGGGAAGCTGAGGGACAAGTCTCTTCTTCTGTATCTGCTTCCTGCTGGGCAGGGGCATAGAGCTGTCCCTGCCTATTGGGGGATTCATGGAACTCTCACCCTAGCTGAGCTCAGATGAGAGGAAGGGGTCTCGAGCTCTGCCTGGAAGACTGTGTTGGCTTCTTTGGTTGTGACTGGCAATCTTGTTGGGGTGTCATCTGTATCCCCAAGGTCCCTGAATGAGGAAAAATAGATTTTAATTAATAAATCTGTTAGCTCTCATGAAGCCTGTGGCCATTCAGCCCGTCATTCAGGTGGAGTCAATTGTCTGGGCCCAGAATGGGTTTGGCATTTAGTTTATTGGCCTGGGGGATATTAGGAAGTCACAGGCTTTCAAGTAGTTATCGGAAGCAGGGGTGGGAGACTTCTATTGTTTAGGATTAAGAAATTGATTTACAGGGCCTTCCCAGTGGCTCAGTTGCTTAAGAGCTAGCTCAAGAGTTTGAGCTCTGAGCAACAGGGTCCCCGGTTTGATTCACGGCCTGAGCTGAGCTGCCAACAGGTGGCAGAATGGCTCAGCTAAAAAAAAAAAATTTGATTTACAAAGCAATCAAGAAGCAGGGGGTAGTGTTGCGGAGAACCCAGAGAGAGAGACTGGACACCAAGGCATGGGAAGCAACTTTTATTAATGCTGGCACTGGCTCAGCAGATTCACAACCAGAGGCTGAGCCTCAACCCGGGTGGGACTCGGGGTTATATACCCTGAAGTTTCCAGGTTGGCAGCTAAGATTTATTATTAGGACATGTGGCCACTGTGCCAGTTCCTGACTGGCTCCTGGGTGAGGTAGGAATTTGAAAATATTAAACGCGGAATTCTTGCTGACCATACAGTCCAGGAATGTCTTTGTCTGAAGTCCGCGCAAAATCCTTAGTGACCACATGGTCTGGGAAGGCCTTTGTCTAGGGCCCACTGCCACCGTAGGAGAATTCTAGGATTCAGGCTAGGAGCAATGTTTAGCCTAGGATTCACAGACTAATGAGAAGAGGAATCAAAGCCAGGGGCTAAGAAACTAAGAAACTAGGGAGGAGATTTAACATTTCTATAGGAAAGAAAACTTACAAGTTTCTCAATGGTGGAGGGGACTGCTTGGTTGGCCAGTAACAGAAAGATTTACAGCATTTACAGAAATGCTAGAATCAAATAATGGCAAATTTTCAAAGCTATGTAATAGACTACTCTGAATTTTAAAATACCAAAGTTATCAGTTGGGTTCTAGATGAAGCCCTGCCTGAGACACAATAATGACTATATTAAAATTCATGAAAAAAATGCAAATCTATGGCTATAGATAAGAGGATAAAAACATGTGTAATGTGTGGAATTAATTTTTAAGCAACGCACTGAGTAGTCAATGAAGTAAAGTAAAATGACATTTTTCAAGAAAAGACAACCATGTTTCTTTATAAGCCAGTTTTCCCAAATAACACAGTATTTAAAAAAATAAGTGCATAGGGCATGCATTTCAAGACTGTTTTGGAATCTGTTACTCTTGTTTGTTAGCTATTTTATACCATTTAATGAATGGAGAAATGTCCTATCCTAAAGTTCTGAAAACGCCTATAGAAGGTTCACGGCCTGGGAAAAACCTTCTTTTAAAGCTTCATTTCCTCATTTTTTCTTTTTTCTGATTCATTTCCTCCTTCTCTTTCATCTTGATATTTGTAGGGGAGGTGAGAGTCCTCCTCCTCTAAATCATATCCTTCCAAACAAAGGAAAACAAAGCTCCAAGCTTATCTATATCTAATCAATCAGAACACCACTTCCCCTCCCCCTCTCCAGTTACCTGCTGGTTTCAATTGGAACAGGAGGGGCAGAATCAGGAAATTGTCCTGGCTGCCACTTGCTGTGTTTCCCTGAGGCCGCAGCTCAGGCCTGCAGCTTGCTGACACTGTGGAGTGGGTTCTTCTTCCACCCACAGAGCGGTGGGAGGGGCACCACACAAAAGTATGGGATTATTGCTACTAAAAATTAGAAAGGGGTGCAATATTTCCTCTTATCATTTTCCGTTTGTCCTTTCTCACTCCCCCTTTCTCTGGCCTCACCATCTTTCCCTCCTTCCCCACTCGAATGGCTCTTTCAGCTGTGAACACACCGCATAAGCTAAGGTAATAAGAGCCGGGGGTCTGAATTGGGAAAACAAAACAAATTTAGAGTCAATATAAGTTACACCCAAATTACTGAGAAACGTGAAATGAAAACAAGCTCAGAGCCAAATCTTCCAGGAAGATGCTGTATTTTGGATTTACTGACCACTTCATGTTTTTATATTTGCCAATGTCTTAAAGCTTTGGCCATTAGTCTTCCACTTCCTAATGCAACAAAGTAAACACCGACTCGGGTTATCTGCCCCAGATGCCACCGGAAATGGCATCCTGTCTCCAGATGCTGGCTCACAAATGTAGCAGCCCTCAGAGGTGAACGTATCTGCCTTGCAGCCCAGGCTCTGGACTCTCCAACTTGGTACTCTGACCTACAGCCGAGGAAGCAGTCTGGCGAGGCAACAGAGAGGTACATTTTTTAAGTCACCATTTACTTTAATGAGTAAGTACTTCCCAGTTTTCCCATTGTATTTTAAGCACTAATTTTGTATTTCTGACCAGCCTTTCGGGGCATCCTTATTTCTTGGGCACTCTCCATCCTAGCCCACTCTACCCCACCCAACTTAACTGAAGACAACTGTTATTTCATAAGAAGAAGCACTGATAAACTACTAACTCTCTAAAAATGTACAGGGAAAGGAAAAAATAGATTGTGAACAAAAAAGGATGTGAAGCATCTATTGGACGTGTACGTGTATATTTGTGGTTGACCACAAAGGCTTGGCATCAGTTTTGACTCTGAGCTCTGCTTTGAATAAAATGGAAGACCTTGAGCTGATGACTCAATCTGCCAACCTTAATTTCCGAATGTGTAAAATGGAGAAGAAGAAAAAGTACCGGTTTCATAGGGTTCGTAAGAAGAATAAATAGATAAGCAGGTAAAACGTGTAACATTACTATTGGAGTGGGTACTAAATAATGTTACTAAATAGCCAGTTAAATTAGTGTCACTAAGAAATTAAATGTTTAATTTAACTGGAAAGCTCCCTTAACTACTAAATCCCATCCCCCCAAAATGCTGAGACGGCTCAGAATAACTATAATTAACATTTGTAGAGTTTACGGAGCATTTCCTTTGATTTCCACAATTCACTCTAAGATAGGTAGTGTTGAGCTGTTGACTTATTTGTGTTCTTGGAGGGTTAAGGGAGGAGCTGAGAACCCTGCAGGGCATGGCCTTACAAAGAGAAGCTTCTAGGTGCAAGTTTAGAGGTGAAGGGAGGCAAAGCAGGACGTGGGAAAAGCCTGTCAGAAGTTAGTTCCCGAGCACAGATTCTTGTTCGGTCAGCTTCCTCACCTCCTGGACCTTGTCCCTCCTGTTCCAAGCCCTAGGGCTTAAAACTGGGGAAACCCTCGGTCCCCGCTGGCAACACACAGAGCAATGCGAACCCAGATCTAGAGCCCTCGGAGAAAGACTGGGGGTGCCAAACAAGGCAGACAGAGACTGGCTCTTAGAATCCCAGTTTTAAATTCATAAACTTTTCCCCCCATAGAAACACTATTGCACTTCGTATTTAGATACTACATTGTTAACCACAACAATAAAATATTATCCATTTTAGAAACTCTTTTGTGTAATCTCCTTAGAGGACCATAGGGATCATCTCTCCCATTTGAAGGATGAAAACAAAGAGGGGAAGTGAGCACTGGAGGTGGCAGAAAACCCAGCCTGCTGACTCAGCCTAAGGTTTGCTGGTTAAATAGGCTTTTATGGACATTCTTGGAGAGAGAATTTTCAGAATCCAACTTGTTTATCAACTGAAAGCAATTTAGTCATTATTAGCTCCCCATCACCCTTCCTTTTCAACCATCAGAAATTTTTATTCCACTATTGGTTAGAATCTCGAGTGGTCAGCATAAATATAACATTTTTTGGAACACAAATAGAGCTTTAACGCGGCGCTGAGTTTTCCATTAACACATTAATAGAAATTCGCTAAGCATCAGTGATGAAAATTGACCTGCGCGGACTTCATACCTGCTCTGTTTTCTCATGGAAAAATTGAAAGCTGTGCACAAAACATTGCTTTGCTTTGTTTTGTTGTGTTTTTCAACAAGGAATAAAAAGGTAAACTACATGCAAATATCTTTTCTAGATAAGACTTTTTTTCCCTCTTAATTTCATATTTATTTATAGTTGAGGTTAAAAGCTCAGGCTCTGGAGCCATATTCCCTCCTAAAGAAACAAAACAAAATCTTAAATTTACCTAATCAGTCAGCAGATTCACTCACTGTCAGTAACAGACCAGTTCTGCCTTTTTCTAGCTGAATAACCTTGGGCTATTTATATAACCTCTCCAAGTCTCAGTTTACTCATCCCTAAAAATGAAGATAAGAGTTCCTACCTCCCGAGGTTGTGAGAATAGAATAGGCTTGGCACAGAGTAAATGCTCAATGGATGCTAACTATTATGCATAAAATACTGGGCTGTAAGGGGTACACGGATGAGTGAAACCCACTTCTGCCATTCGGGATTAGGATATACTGGGTAGAAAGACACTTGGGCAGTTAATTACGGTACAAAACAGAACCAGGTGCTAAATAGAGGCATCTGTCAGGTGAGATTTTTTTCTGTCTGGGAAAATAGGGAAAGCTCAACAGACAGAATTGCATTGTAAACTGAATCTTAAAGAAGGAACCAAATTTTAGTAGAGAAAAGGGTTAAGGAAGTTTCAATGTAGAGTTTTGCAGAGTAAACATGAAGAGGTGAGAAAAAGCCCTCTGGGTATACGCAAGCTCCATAATTCACCCACAGGCTTTGGGGAGATGCACAGAAGCAAGGATCATAGCCGAAGTTAAAAGACAAAGTTTATAAATGTGAAACGTTGGAGTTATGCTAGCATATCAAGTGAAAAGTAAAGATACGAAATTCGAAAACCGAGGTGATTCAGTTTTATGTGAGAAAACACATATAAAATAAAAACAATACCATTTTAGAAAGTATTTCAAAATAAGACACTTTCTTAAGGATTAAGAATAATTTATGAAAAGTAAAAAACGTAACCATAAAATATAAAACAAAGTTGAAACTGGTCACGGCTCAGCTTCCCAAAATATATCACAACATCCTCCTCCCTAAAGTATATTTTCAAGAATTATATCTTCTTTTTTTATTGCCAAGAAATATCTGAACTGTTCGATATCCAAGCTATCATTCAAGGATTTTGATGTTTTCGGAATAATGGAAACAAGCCACAGTCGTGGAAAATAAAAATGACTTGACCCAAGCATTTCAGAAGCAGAATTTATTTCCATCTACTTATTGCCAGCTAATGTTTCAAGAATAAATTATATAGCAACTCTCCAAAAATGCACAGCAAGAAGATGCTGCCATCATTCCCACTGAGGATCAATGTTTATCTTTAGGAAGATTGTTCAAAGGTCACAAGACTATCTTAGGAATTCAGCCACAGTTTGATGGGAGGATACAAGGGAGTCTAGAGAATTTAGAAGTGATAAGAGGCCCACACAGACTAAATTACTGCTTGCCCTGCCCGCACCCCTACCCCCTTGGATCTTGATTTTACTCACCTGAATATGTTTGGAACTCAAGTGACAAGTTTGGGCTAGCTAAATTTATTGAGCACTTAAAAATGTAGCAGACCTCATGCTAACGACTTTACATATGTTCATTTAACCCTCATTTCCTAAGAAATCCATAGTGTTTTTCCTGTTTTGTTGATGAGGAGTCTGAAGTGCAGAGGGATTACTTAACCTGCCCAGGGGCTCAGAGGCTAGTGACTAAGTGGAGCAGGATATAACCCCAGGGGGCTGACTCCAGGGCCCACCCTCTCAGCCACTGTGCTTTATGGCCTCAATTCAGCCATCTGCATACAAATAGTAATTGATAAGGGGATCTTATAATTTATTTGCATCCAAACGGGAATGTTTCGGCGGAGGGGAGTTGCTATTACTTATACTGGGGAAAACCAGGGTAAACCGAAACAGTTCGGGGCAAATAAGGACATATGACCGACCACCTTATTGACTGACGCCGTGAGAGTGGATGAATTTACCAAGGGAAAGAATGTTGAAGAAAAGAAGAAAGGCGTCATTTAGTGGGCTTTGAGGAAGACCAACATTTTGGGAATTGGCGGAGAAAGAAATTCAGAAAGGCTACTGAGGGAGAGGGTGTCAGACTCTCCAGCAGTTTTTCCGAGGGGAGTGAACACCGGTGTCCCAGCCCCCAAAGCTGGGAATCCTGCGGATGTGATAAGAACCAAGACATGGCCACTGAAAGGAGCAACAAGGAAATCATTGGTGATTTACTGACAAACATTTCTTCTGCTTGATGGAGTTGGAAGCCAAATTAAAGTAAAAACAAAGGAGGAGTGAGTGGGAGGTGAGGACCCAGACACAGCCAGTGCAAACAACTCTTTTTAAGAAGTGGCCTTGAAGGGGAAGCAAAAGATAGGACTGTCCTGGAGGTGGAGTCCAAGAAGTTTCCTTTCTTTTTTCGAAGAAACTAGAATGCGTTTCATGCTTAAGGAAGGAGCCAGCCAAAGGAGACTGAAGGAAAGGTGGAATGCATAATTAACCCCTCTCCGGTGGACATCTTGGAGCAAAATTCCTGAGGCGGTAGGAGGACGAGCCACCTGAGCTGAGGGATTGTTTCCTTCACCCCTGAGGAGGTACAGCTCTAACCTCTGTGCGGGAGGGAGGAAGGGGGATTGAGGCTTTGAGGGTTTGAGGGCGGGAACAGAGCGAGGTGCTTACTGTCTGTAGACTCGGGTTTTCTCTAGGGTCCTAGCAGGGAGGGACTCCAGTGGCAGAGGTTGAAGGGTGCCCACTGCATGGTAGTCACTGTACTAGGTCCCTGAGAGACACCAGTGCGACCTCTTTTCATCTTCACTATTATTCAGTGATGTAGGTGATATTATCCCCGTTTAACACCAGGAACATGTCTCAGAACGTTGTGCCACCAACCCAAGGCCACGCAGCTGTTGAGCGCTTGAGTCCAAGTCTGACTTCAGTGTCTCCTGGAAGTGAAAGCCAGATCACTGCCTTCCGGTACCTTTTCATTGGTGTTAGAGAGTAATAGGAAGGAAGTTACTAAATGTAGTTTAAATAGTAGTTTGAGACCATAATGGGGAAGTTTGTCAGTCAGTACATGATTGAAATCATATTTGTTTATGTGAATTGATTTGATTTTTTTTTTACTGTAAGAGATCCTTTTGTAAAAAGATTTTTGTTTAAATGGGGCTATTTGAATAAAGGCTCCGTAGTTTTATCTTTTGTTTTTATAGAATTTACTTGCATACCCAGTATTCTGAATCCCCGATTCATTCATAAAAGATGTCTCCCACATTTCTTCCCATAGTCCGTAGGAAATTTTTATGTTACACTATTACTGTGGGGGGAAAAAATACACTGCCTGAAGGATTTTTAAACTTGGTTATTTTTGAATTCTTAGAGTGTGTGAAATTCTTCCTTTGATATTTAACTGCAAAAGAGTCACAAATTTAAGACTGTGGCCCCGTAGGAAGGGTACAGATACAAATTGAATATGCCCATAGTGATTCCTGCCTCCACAAGGAAAACTTGTGGTTACATGGAGCCCAGTTTACAGATCTCTATTTCGGTTTCAATTTTCCATTTATGTCACGTGCATCTGAGGTCTTACATGTGGAGTGCAAGGACTAACTAAATAGCCAAGTTTAGAAATATGGGCCGTAGAGTGAGGTGGGTAGGATTGAGTGACTTAGGGGTGAGGTAGAGGAAATCCGATATTTCTTGGAGGTATGAGTCAGATTTGCAGAATGACAACCTTCACAACCCCAGATAGACACAGGTGTTCCCTAAATTTTTACTGAATTACTTAATGGGCTGCAGAGCTGAGGCCTGTTTTAGAGGTGAGGTTATTGGAGGTGGGGAGTGGAATCGGCCTTTCCAATGGCTTTTTGGAAATAATTTTTCTGTTGCATTACTTACCATACTATCTCACAATACTTTTATATATTTTTAAAAATTTGCTCCTAAAACCACTTTTTTAAATAGTAGGCCTGTATGCATTTTCTCTATTTTCAGGTTATGTAAAGAAAGGGTGAATGTTAATGGACTTGCGCCAAATCAATCCTCAACCCACAGACCATTCATTAAGCTTTCCAAAGAGAAGTTTGAATTGTTTGCTTTTGTTTTTTTTAGAAAGCTTTATATGACATGCAATTTCATTTTTGAACAAGTTTAAATTCCATTTAGAAAACTAAGCAAATGCCTGGACATAGCTAGGTTGTAGAGATAAGTTCATGAAGAATAATTATTATTTGTACCATCTATTCTGTTAAAATGTAAGGGTATCTTGGAAAAATTTAAAGCATTGATTTGATCACCAGAAATGCAGTTAGAAGGAAGTGAACTATTTATATTCCCAGTATAATGTTTCATTAAGATGGTTAGTCATATACAAGAAACTTCTAGTTACAAGTACTTTCTACAATTAATCAAAACAACATCCTCATTTTTAGTGATTACCTCGATGATTTAAGACTTCTTTGCATGGTCTCTGGAGCATCTGGCCCACTAAATGTGTCATTCTTCCTGTAACTAACGATCAATAAGAAAAAAATTAGCCTAATTTCTACAACACGTTGATTAATGAAAACCAAATGCTATGTGTTGATTTGTGATAGTTAAAAAGCAATAGTCAATGATTTATAAGTCATGGCTTATGAAGCTATTAAAAATTTAATTATCCCCAAACAGAAATCTAAGCAAGATGCTCGAAAGTAATTTATTATAGCAGTAGCCATTATTAATGCATTTTTCTGTCAGAAGTGAAGCCAAAAGCCAAATTTTACTTTGAAAACAGAAAAACATAGCACTACTTATAACCATGACTTGAGGAGTCATCATGAAACTCTTCTAAAGCTGGTTTTCATTTGATGTTGGAATCACAGATTGCGTGATCATCCTTATGTCTTCTCTCTCCCCCTTGACCTTTCTCCTTTGGTGCTTTGGCTGGCTTTGGTGCTTCATTTACATACATCAATTTAGCTGCTAGCTTCTTTGATATTTTTACATGTCTATTTCCATATCGCTCCTCTTGAGAGTAGCGACAGCATTTTTATAGCTACTCCTTTCACCTAGCACAATTCTGGTCCTCAGTGATCCTTATTGAAAGAAAGAATGAATGAATGAATGAGTGAAGCAATCTATAAAACAGCTACCAAAACTAATAAGTGAGTTTAGCAATTTAGAAACAAAGAAAGAAGTCTGCTTTCAAATCCCTTTTTTGTTTCAGTTTTGTAAATAAAAAGAGCTTTGAAAATGGAAGTTACTGATCTTGTTTTAACACGAGAGAAGATTTAGCTCCAAATTATTCTCTGCTCACCCCCTCTAAAAAAGTCCTCCCTGGTTTTTTTTGGCTGGTTTTGTTTTTAATATTTGGCATCTTAGCTTAACCGATTCTTTCCCACAGCACTAGCCCTAAGGGCATCTGATTTGTCCTGTTTCAGTTGTGGGTGCTCTTTATCAAGAATTTCATGAATTTCCTTTCAGTTTCAGCTTCTGACTGGAACCCCTCTTCCCAATTTCCCTTCCCTTCTTCTCTATGGTCCTCTGCACGTTCCACTGCAGAAGAACAATAGGAAATTCTTAGGGGGGCTTTTTTGCCCGATTTTGGCTCTGAGCCTTGGGAGCAGCATCCCGGTGGGTCAAGGTCACTGATCAGGAATACAAGGGCCGTCAGAATTCCTCAAACAAAGTGAGGCCCAGGTGTCCATAAAATTTTATTTTGGCCATTCCAAAATCCAGATCTTTTTAATTGTTACATGTCTCTTGCTTGAGATTATGGTATGGGATGAGAAAAATATCCTCCTCTTCACACACACCCCCACATACACACACACCAAGTACACGTGGACCACCTCTCCTGGGCAGGAGGAGTAAATGGTTGCCTGCCTATGCATACAGGCACATCCTTCCACCTGTCCCCCTGACAGGAGCCAAGCTTTAGGATTCACACTGGCCTGCAGGGGGTTCTGGTCTAAAGGAGGTCTATAGAGACAGCTTTTGGAGTCATTTGTTTTAAGTCTTAGCTCCATCACATCAATATCCTCTCTTATAAAAGGGGAAATAATAAGAACTATCTTATAAATAATATAATGTTTGTACAGCACCTAGCATCTAGTAGCTGTTCAATTCTGTTTTATTTAAAATCTTTTTGCTTAGATCATCTCATTTGATTCTCACAGAGCCCTGCTAGACGAGCAGCAAAAATACTGTAATCCCCTTTTACAGATGGTTAACCTGGTGTTCTGAAACTTGCTCAATAATAACAATAATAACTCTTATCCATGCTTACTACTTGTCAGGCATTGTTTTTAAACACTTTACATTTAATCCTCACATCGAATATATGAAGTGGGTACTAAAAGTCCCATTCTACAGATGAGGAAAATTAAGGCAAAGAAAGGCTAAATAACTTGCCCAAGAACAAAGAGCTAGCAAATTGAAGAGTTGGGACTGAAACCCAGAGAGTATGGCTCCAAAAGCAATGCTCTTCTCCAGTATATATATATATATATATATATATATATATATATATATATATATATATATATATATATATATATAT